CGACTTTAATCAACCAACAGGGGGTTCTATCACTGCTCGTCTCAAGGCATCTCGCAAACGGATGGATCGGATGGATCGGATGGGTAGTACCATGTTTTGTCCGGCCTTACCCCCCATTTCGGAACAGTCCGGCCGCCACTTCTGGTTCTCTCGAAGACTGCATAAAAGTAATCTGCTTGTGCAGTGCAGGGCAAATGATACCAAGGGCCAAAATACTCGTGTGAATATATGAATATGTGTGTATGGATGCAAGATGTGCTAAGAGTTGCCAGAATGCCCATGTTGTGAGATCAAGATTTTTGGTATCCAACAGCGTGATTATTCTCCTCGAAACCACTGCCAGGGTCAAGCCTAGGTCCTCTGGAGGGTCATTCTGCCCAGTTGCAGTGATTTCCTAGCATCCACCAGGTTGGCACCTGCCGTCGGAATGCTTTACGAGGGGAAAAACGACCCAACCCGTCCGCACACACGACATCACACGATGGTCGACCCCCGGCCTGTTTTACTGCCACCAGCATCGAGTTGAGGGTGTCTTTCATCAACAAAACCCGGCCATTGTTGCGAGGCGCATCCTCCAGCTTCCTCGCGCCGCGATGTCCGGGAAAGGTCGAAAGATTCACCCAAAACATCTGGCAATTAACCTTGTTCTAGATCAGATCGGCAGGTTTTGGAAGTTTCATTTGAGTCATACAAAAACCTGGTCCTACCCCCCTGATACTTCGTGGCCATGTTGTAAAATTTCGTCTGACTGGCAGCTCCTGACCATCTGGAAGCGATGAGGGTTCCATGCAGACCATCCGTTTGCTGCCTCGGCAGGTAGCGACTGGTGTAAGCTCATGTAGGCTCACCAAACCTGGAAAAATAATGGAAAAATTCCACCGGAGCCACTGGCATGATCACATCCCAGCCATCCTCCTGTACAATCGTATCATGTGGTCCCACGTCGACGCCTCTGCATCTGTTTGTGCCCATAGTTTGATGTTCATCCCGCTTAGTAACTGGTGAATAGTCATGGCGGCTATAACCTCAGAAACTGTCCAACCCTAGGCATTGGACCTACCAATCAGGCTGGGTTCTTTGGCCATTTACAAAACGAGATGAACATCTCAGTACCCTCAACACACATTTCGTCCAAGCGACCAGCACGCCTGGCATTTCTCACCACGTAGCTCTCTTGAAAAATGATAGGCGGCTTTGTTGCGCCGATTGGCAAATGCAACAGCACTAGCACACCTATTGTGACTTAACCAGGTCGCTGGTCTGCCGAATCCTTAAAAAAAGAGCCGATCCAAACCGACCAGTGAATCACACCACCAGCAAATGCTTGACCTGATACTGGAATTGACTTTTGGGACCTTGGCTCGGACTGTGGCAGCCAGCGATGGAAGCACACTACAAGCTCTGGTAGGTGGAGGCCTGAATCAACAGTTGGGCGACCAGTGTCAGCGCTTAGAGCTTGTGGCGTGCGGCTCTTGAGCTTCACGCTCCAAACCCCGTAAATGCCAAAAACGGAACGGAACTGAGCCAAAGTCCGGACGAAAAGGCGAGGTCCAGGGGCTTGGTTTTCATGGATGTTCACCAATGGGGAAAGAGCGAATGAGTTTCTGGAAATCACTGGAAAATCAAAATTTGTCCACGATACTGCCCTATCTTCCAAAGATCCCTTCCCAGCATTCTTCGAATCAGCTCTGGGCACCACAACTGCCAACCCTATCCCAGCTGACAGAGTGCCAAACGTGAATCAGTGGGCAAGGACAGCAAGGCCTTTTTGGCATCCTGCCAAGTGCTATGAGCGTTGACTCCCAGTTGGTGGATTGCAATCACGACAATACCGAGCTTCGGGGCATTGCCATGAGGTTGACTCGGACGGACCCAAGTGGAGTGGGTACCCTTAAATTTACCAATGGGATATGCCGGATATGCCTTCTGCCCAGAGATTGTTGGAGAAGCATTTCAATGAGGCCATTGTGAACCCTCACTTGGTGAAAGTCCAATGTATCTATCGTCCTCTTCATGTTCCATGTGTTCAAAAGTCTTTCCCAGTAGGCATACTTAGCATACTTCATACCACCATCCGCTTTGGAGATTGTCTATACCGTCGAGGTTTGTCTGAAAATACGGTACCCCGAAATCCATTGGCCAACGGCAATTTTCTCCATCAAAATAGCCGCTTTGGGGGGTAAACCCAATTTTAAAACACCACTGGATATTGTTGAATCGTAAAATCCCGATCTTCATCGTATCCCCATTTTTCCTGGTTAAATCCTGTTTGTTTCATGATAAATTCCATTTGTTTCCTGATGAAATCCTATGGTTTCCTAATGAAATTCCAATTTTTCCTAGTGAAATCCCTTGTGAGGAATCGACCGTGTCCAGCTCCGTTCCCCCGGCCTCTAAAGCAGGCACCAGCTTCCCTTGCTCAAATCGAGCTGTCGCTCGGCGGTACCGAGCCTATTTGTGGCACTTGAAAAATTGTGAAAATCGTGGGAAAATTACGGGAAACTGATGATGACCCCTGGGGGCCCATCATGGATTTTGGGGGTATTCACACAAACCCATCTCCACGTGCATTGATTTAGATACAGTGGAACCTGTGGGATCACAAGTCCAAGGGGCAGCCCGTCAGAAGAGGTGAGTCACTAACATTCAAAATGGGTAACGGATGTTTCTGCTTCGCCCCAGTCAAAACTCCTACAATGCTTGGGCTTAAACATAAACAATCTTTGTGTCAAACCAAACATCTGTTCTTGGAGTCGTTGAAAGTTGGTTTCTTGCCCCTCAAAGCAGTTGTCTGGGCCTTGCCATTCTCCGGTTTTTCTTCCAGCACTGTGCTGCAGTCGTGCTCCTGGGTCGGGACCCTGAAGGCTCCCGCGAAAGGAAATAGAGATGGCGATTGCGTCCTTTGACCAGTCTAGAAGTGTCTCAATTTTCCTCCTGGTTTGTTCATCTCATTTCTTCATGTCTTCTGCCTGTTTATCCGCTGGTTTTTCAACCAATACACTGGTGGGATGGTTTGGAATCCTTGGGTTTCAAAGGGATGATCACGACCGGATCCCAGGATAAACCAAACAATCCAGGTCTGGGCCCCCTGGCCGCATCTGCAAAGCGTTGCAGCTTCAAACGAGCCAAGGCCTTGGAGGAACTGCCCAGGAGCTGGACATTTGTCCCTCTAGTGATCCCCCTAAAAAGGTACCATTTTTTTTGCGGAAACCTCGAAGCGCAACTGAGCTCCACAAGCTGAACAGTCTTAAATGAACTATCTCCAGTCCTTGTCCTTCAATGTCATCCCAGGCATGCGGCTCTGTTGGTGTGCAAGGCACAACGCAGATCGCCTCCGCTCCAGCACTTCCCCCCAGGCAGCACCATGAAAGTTGCTCCAAAGCATACCCAAAATCCAGTGGTTCATAATTTGTCCCATTAAGAATCATTTTATTATTTATATATATATATATATGTATATGTATACATGTTACATATATATATAATGTAAATGTGTATATATATATATACATATGCGGGTGTGTGTATGTATGTATGTATGTATGTACGTATGTATGTATGTACGTATGTACGTATGTATGTATTTATGTATGTATGTATGTATGTATATATATCTGTATGTATGCATGTATGCATGTATGCATGTATGCATGTATGCATGTATGCATGTATGCATGTATGCATGCATGCATGCATGTATGTATGTTTGTATGTATGTATGTATGTGTCTGTGTCTGTGTCTGTGTCTGTGTCTGTGTCTGTATGTATGTATGTATGTATGCGTATTTATATGTATATGTAGATGTATATGTATATGTTTATGTATATGTATATGTATATGTGTGTGTATGTATGTATGTATGTATGTATGTATGTATGTATGTAGGTATGTATGTAGGTATGTAGGTATGTAGGTATGTATGTATGTATGTTTGTATGTATGTATGTATGCATGTATGCATGTATGCATGTATGCATGTATGCATGTACGCATGTATGCATGTATGCATGTATGCATGTATGCGTGTATGCGTGTATGCGTGTATGCGTGTATGCGTGTATGCGTGTATGCGTGTATGCGTGTATGCATGTATGCATGTATGCATGTATGCATGCATGCATGCATGCATGCATGCATGTATGTATGTATGTATGTGTCTATGTCGATGTCTATGTCACTGTCTATGTGTATGTATATGTATTTGTATATGTATTTGTATATGCGTATATATATATATATTTATTTATTTATGCGTATATATATATATCTGTATGTATGTATGTAGGTAGGTAGGTAGGTATGTATGTATGTATGTATCTATGTATGTATGTATGTATGTATGCATGTATGTATGTATACATATATATATACACATAACCTATAAGATTACGATTGTGGGCCATACTCCTGGTGAAGTAATTACCCTGTTACCTGTTACCAACGCCGTTGAAAGAAGTATTGCGACCCTGGAGGCTGAAAAGCAGCTGACAAGCAATCTGGCAAAGCAAAAATCTGTAATCAGCCTGACAAAGAAAGGCTACTCTTCAGCTCTGTATTGCAAATCTCATCCCCTTCCCAGATTTCAAATACCATGGCCATCAGCCACAGCCTGGGACCTCTCTGACCTTGCCCGACCTCGGTATGGAGTTACGCTAGGATCAACTGGATCACTTTGGTGGAAGTCCTGGTCGAAGAAAATTTGTGTGTTCAAATAGCCAACGTGGCTTCCTCAGATTGAGAAGTTTTGCTAAGCCGAGTTGGGATGCCTTAGTCACTGAGCAGCAACTCCTCCGCCCGATGCCCCAGAAAAATCTACCTTGGCAGCACTAATCTGGGGCCCAAAATCAGCATACCTCTCCATTTGTTCTAGGGAAAGAATTGAAATCACTGCTACCAGAGTGGTGCACACCCAGACCACTTTCTCTCTCTCCGGGAGTTGGTGTAGCCAAGGGGCTCGTAAAACCAAATGGCTTTGGTGAACCACCTGCCATTAGCCAAGGATGCGCGCAGTCAAAAAGGATGTGCGCATGGGTCAAAATTGGGTCCCCAAAATGCCTAAGAATTTGACCAATTGGCCAACATCTCTGACCCATTGGACCTTGGATTTTGACCCATGCCCACGTGTTGAATCATCTTCATGGGCAAGAGTTCGAGGTCCAAAGAATTCCGGCCCATCATGAAAGTGTGTGCTTTCTCTTTGGATCTCTGGAGAACATCCTGTATTTGGAATGATGCCTTGGTGTACGTACGAATCTCCAGCTGCCAAAACAGGATGTGGTGCAGAAATAGTTCTCCAAAGACTGCAATTCTCAAGAATCGGCTCAGCCCCTTAAAAGATACAAGCTATACTTGACTGGCAAGATCAAGTTCCAACGCAAACGACAACTCGTCGATTGTAATTGTTGTGCCCCCCTTTCAATGTACGGGGAGAAACCGAATCCTCTGACTGCAAAAACCCTCCAGCCTTTCACTCTCTGCCAGTTTGCCATCCACATAGAGGCCTTATTGCTGTGCACATGTCCTAAGTTCACATGAAATGATGGTTATGGGTCAAAACCCTGGTACCCTTCTGTTAACACCAATAAATAGTTGGTAAATGAATTTTCATTTCCCCAACCGGTATGATTTAACAGAAATTATGATAACATACAAACATACAAACATACAAACATACATGCACACATGCATGCATGCATGCATGCATGCATGCATACATACATACGTACATACATACATACATACATAGATACATACATACATACATACATACATCCATGCATGCATGCATACATAACTTACATTACATTACATTGCATTACATTCCATTCCATTCCATTACATTACATTACATACATAACTTGCATACATACCCACGTACATACATACATACATGCATGCATGCATGCATGCATACATGCATACATGCATACATAGATTACATACATTACATACAATACATATATTACATGCATACATGCATACATGCATACATAGATTACATACATTACATACATTACATACAATACTTCAATACATATATTACATACATACATTACATTACATACATACATTAGATGACACGACATTACATTACATTGCATTACATTACATTACATTACATACATACCTTACATACATACACATATACATGCACATATACAGATACATTTACATATACATATACATATTCATTTATGTATGCAGTGTATTTATATATATATACATGTGTGTGTACTTGTAGTATATATTATGTATGTACATATATATATATATATTGTATGTACATCTTATATGATAGGTATTGACCCACAGACATATCTGGTGGCCGAGCATGGAGGAGACCCTGGATGTCGCCAGGTGACGATTGCCACGACTCTTGGCGTCCTCGATTCCAGCCACGGTGCACCTCAGCTGATTTCATCACCAGGGAAAAATATCGGGAAAATGGGTGAAAATGTATGGAGATGATGGAAATGTGATGATATGTGAAGATATGTCGCAATGATACGCGAAGATATGTCGTGATGATGTCGTGATGATATGTCGTCGTGATGTGTGATGATATTGTGCTTTTGTGGTAGTCAACTGTCCCACAAATCATGACCAAATTTCTTGGGTCCAGCACGTGATCTCCAGATCCGGGCATGGATCTGACCAAACTCGCTGTGGTCGACTGGCTTTGGGCGGCTCCACGTTCGCCTGGAGCCCCGTTGAATCACCCAAAAAATACAGGAAAAACCGTTAAATACACAGACATGGGATATCATGAGTTGGGATGTTTGCAGGGTCGGCCCAGTCTCATCCTGTTTTCCCCGGTTTTTCTCTAACCCCATCATTGAGTTGGCAACTCCAAGCCCTTGACACTGTCGGCTCTGTGCCTCCGCATCATCATCGGAATCCGCCTCAACCACCTGAATGCGCCTCCACTCGGAAGACGGCTTTGCCTCCGGAGGTCGATTTTACACTCTCCAGGACCAGACTTTGCGACGAGGTCCAGTAAATGGGACTTGCCCCTGTCAGTTCACTATGATACCTCCGAGTGGTCCTAGTGATGTCGACTTTTTTTTTAAATCAGCACTTCAGTCCGTGCCAATGGAACAGTTGCAGAAAACTGTTCTCACGGATGGTGATGCCAGGCCTCTACCTTGGTGGGTTCATCATCCACATCTTCGATCAGGACCATCTTTCCTCGTGAAGTCCTGCAAGCCATGGGCTGATATCATGTGCCAAGAATTTCAGCCTTCGGTGTCCATTTTGCCAGCCTTGATTGTAAAAGGAAAATCAGGAGAAACCTCTGACCTGTTTGGAGAAAAAAAGGTAGCGGCATCCTGCCGATATTTCCGCAAACCAACCCAATGATACTCCCCCAAACAAATCTTACCATAGACGATTCTCCTTCCAGAGTTCAAGGCACAACGCTACAAGCGATGGCAGCTATGAGTTTCTGCTGTTATTTTGCTGATTCCTTGCGCTGTGGACATCCTGAGATGACTCTTGTTTTCAACATTGTCTTGTGTAGCAGCTAGAGCCAATGGCTGCACCCAGGTTGTAAAAGCCAATGCAATTTTGAGATAGCAAGGAATGCGGTGTGATCTAAATGGAAGCTCTCTCTGCCATACTAAGTTTGGCTCGAAATGCAAAGTCTCTTCTAAGCCTCTAATCCTGTAAATCTAAAGCGCTCCACCATGTGCGTATCATTGCAAGTCTGCGCGTGTGCGGGCAAACTGCCATCACCGGTGGTTTTGAACAGCAAAGCCTCAGCTCAAAGACTTCACCATGCGAAGCGGAAATTCTACAGACCTTCAGCAGATTCTGGCAAGGAATCATGTTCTCACATTTCCATACATTTTCCCACATCTAGTTCGAGATTTCCAAGTCTTCGCCATTGGAAAAAGATCCTGCAGAAGATACTTGAGACCGTGTTGCCACAGCTCCAACTTCGGGAGAGTGCTGGTCCAACGATAATGGATAGGCGCAGCAGCTCAATGGAGTTTCGAAAATTTGGCAGTTCCTCTTCTACTTTCTGTATTTTTCCAAGATTGCTGATGCAAGTTGGCAAAATGATCCTGCGTGGATGATTGACGAAGAAAACCCCACAGGCAACATCCAATTCCGACTTTGGGACGCGGGAAAACCGCCTTTCCAATTCCTGGAAAGCGTTCAGCTCAAGATCAGTGAGGGATGTTCCGGCGAAGCATGGCAGCATCCTGTCATCAGCACAAGAAGCAAATATAATGTTGGGAAACCACCAGGATACAGAAATATCAATATCCTGGTACGAACCCCGCTGTGGTAGGTGGCTATCCTAAATAGGCACTGGTTCGTGCAAGTTTCTAGGATCAGCAGCACAAGAGATAATCGAGACATGTTTTCCTCCACAACCCCAAATACAATCCGAAAGGAATGTGTTAAAAAAAACAATGCCTATCACCTGAATTTGTATGGAGATGGTTTTACTCTTTCCCAAGCGTTCCTTTCTTAACTACCCTTTAAACATCGTGAATGGAACAACCACCCTTCCATATGTGACAAGCAAACACGAACCTTGAAATTTATGATGCTGGATCTGCTTTCACTTCCGTTGCAACGCGCTCCCATTTTTGGCTTGAAAACAAAATAAAAACACTTTATGAAGCTCAGCTGTCCGCTAACGTGAAACCTAAATTGCATGCACAAGGCTCTGGTCAACTTAGTTAAAGTGATAGAGGGTCTCAGGGATCGCTGATCTTTCCTGATCTTTTGGTGATCTGCACAAACACCTCAGAAATGCCTAGCCAATGTTCCACCATGTCCAGGTCCTGAATACGTCACAGGTACATGTTGGCACCACGTTGCATAGATGATAGTTCAGTCATATTTCTTGTAATTGTAATCCACAATGAGGGGCCCTCAACATAAGAATGCTTGCAGCACCTTCACTTCTCAGAAATGCACTGAAATCATCTCTTCCTCAGGCACATCCACCTGAGTTTCCATCTGCGAGTGCTCGCATGTCTTGCCAAGTCCATGGCACAATGAGCGTCAATTTGGGCACGGGCAGAAAATCAGAAATTCGATGAAAGACTCGTTGCTGGAAAAGCTGGCGCCAGTGGACTCGCCCCTCCCTCACTGAACCAAAGACCAAGCACCTTCCACTGCGACTTGCTGCTGCAAGATCTGAGGCGCAGATAGCTTCGAAATCCTCCAGGAATCGAAAGATGCCACCCATTTGAACCCGACAGTTGATGTCGGCTCGCGATTGAAGGAGGAGCTGAGCCACTTCTGTGCCTGGTCAGCAAAACCGGAGGCTTGGATTGAATGGTTGGTTTTCAAAAGGACCGGTGAAAGGTGGCGAAAATGTTTTTGGGTTTTTTCCACCTCCGCAGTTCCTGGCTCATAGGGATCTCAGCTATTCTTGACCACCATCAGCTGGGTGTGCTTTTAACCTATGTCTGGAGGAAAGTAAAACGTGAGTATATTGCGTATGTGTGATATATTTGTACATATATATATATAATTTATATATAATTATATATATGTTTATTTAATATATATATATATAATTTAAATGTGTATATATATAATTTATATATACATAATCTATATAAATCATTTATGTTCATATATAATCTATATATATATATATCATTTATGTTTATATATTATATATAATTTATGCATATTATATATATAATTATTATATATTGTTTTTTATATATACATATACATAAATTATATAGTATTTAAATATAAATGATATATATATATTATGTATATATAAATTATATATGTATATTGGATTTATACTGGTAATGTTTTTGTCATCCCGACGCAGCCGTTCTTGGCCAAAAGATATTGTAGCCAAACTTTCACGAACTGCATGTTTGATGTTTGGGGGATGTTTTAACTTGCCACTGGGAAGTACTCAATCTGCACGCAAAACCCGTGCGCGTCATCAACTCCAAAAAGGCACGCAGAAAGGTTCAATGATTTTTATCCCCTGCTCTGTGTGGGTTCCCGAGCCACCTGAACTTTCGCCACTGCTTTTGTGAAACTTTAGCAACAGTTTCACATGAAATTCAAAATCATTGAAAACTGCTCCCACCCTGAATCCAGACAATTGCAGTAGTCAAGTTCTCCACAAGCAACTGTTCCTGCCAGTCTCCATTCCTGAACTCCCCACAACACTGAAAAAAATGCATATCATATGATGATGAACCCAGCAAAAAAACTTGGGCATGGATTGTGAGCGAAGAAATACTTTAGTGATTTCAGGAAAAAGGAAAATGATTTTGAAACAACCATGACAAATCCTCATGTACAATCCATATGTATATGAGATGTGTGTATTTTTGTTTGAACCCAGATACAGTAAGGATTGCTCAAATTCACAGCCAGCCAACTCAAAGGTGGCATCCCAGCTCCAGATCCCAACTGGTTCACATCAGCTTTGTGCTCTATGAGTTTTGCCACCGTTGCCACATTGGCTGCCCTGCAGACCAGCTCGCACAATGGAGCGGCTCCCACCAACGCGGATGTTCGGTTCACATCGCCCCAGTACTGCACCAGCAGCTCCACCGCCAAAGGCGACCGGCACAGCGCCAGGCAGCTCCTGGCGCCGAAGCGCGTGCCATTGGCATCGGCCCGCAGCCGCAGCAGTTCTGCCAACACGCCTCCCGCCGCCTCACCGGCAGAGGCGGCAAAGTGCACGGGGGTTTGGCCTGGCCACATGTCGATCTCTGAGATTAGCAAAGAAGATGTCTCCAGGATGGCCTTCTGTTCCAGCAATTGGACCAATAACTGGGCATCACCTGATAATGCAGCACAGGCCATCGGCCCAATACCTTTTTGTTGCTGAAGTGATTTCTTTGACTCGAAGTGGAAGTCTGTCATGAAGCAGTTGAGCGATCTGGATAGAATGGGAAGCCCAGCAATCTGCTGGCATTTGGCGAGACAAAAACGATACTGTTCCTTCTTCTTCTCCAACAGGAGCCTGTAAACAGGTTGGGCCACTGCCCTTAGACAGAAACGCGTCAGCTGTTTTAAAATCCGGAGAAGCTGCTCTTTATCTTAACTCAAAATTCAAACATCCCTCACCCACCTGTCGAGCTTGTCGTCCAACGCTTTTCGAACCACCTGGCAGCACTCGTGTCTGTCTGCCCCCACGGTGAAAGTACCTTCATGCACAAAGTTGTTCACCCACTGCATGGGCATAGCAAACTGCAAATGCTTTGAACCGTAGGCCACCGTGATTGGGAACTCAGACTGAGTGGAGAGCAAGTGGCACCACAGTTCGAGCCTGCACCACCCATGCCCGACCCAAGAACTATGTTGTTGATGTCGTTGTTCTATGAGACGTCAACCTGCACGACGAAGTCGCAGTTGAGACGCCAGTATTGTTCCAGCTAGTTGCGCGGTTGCCAGGCCTCACTTCGAAAAGGAAAATGAGGCAAGCAAAGGTCCCACCAAGAGCGTGTCACCATGCTTTGTCGCTGCGCAGCTGTAGAGACCCACACGGCAGCGTCGCGTCGTTCCTGCGCCACTCTGTTGTATCCAGCTCCATGATCGTGCGCCAATTGTTTCGCTGTTGGGTCGGCAGCTGCATTCATGGCCCTGCGACCCAAGAAGAATGGCTGCACTCCCGAAGTGTGTCTTTATGGTGAAGCCGCGGCACAAGAGCCAGGAACACATCCGAAGCTGCAACAAAGAGAGGGATAGATCGTATAACAAGCTCAGCATCGCGGGCAGCCTGCAACTTTGCAGCCTCATCATGCGCAGCCACAACTTGCAGAATTGAAAACCAGTCCATCCAAATAAACGCCTTCTTCAGATCGGCTGGCTTTGGGAATTTCGAGCGAACTCCGGTGAATTGCATGAGCACAGTCTCTTCCATGGTCACAGTCTGGATCAGATTCTCCAAGGAACTGCGCAGCACATCCATCTGCTCCCCAGCAACATCTGGATGTTGATGTCCCAGCCACTGGTGTGAAACAAACATGGTGAGACTGCCTTGCTGATGCTCCACCAAGACATGAGAGTCATAAGCACCTGATGGGGCAAGGGAGGCCCCTTCATTTCCATGAGAGCTGCCACCAGAAGGATCCACATCGGGTGTAGCCGTCAAGTCCTTAAATGATTCCTCTGAGCGGAAGGATCTCTCTGCCCCTTGCAGGGATGCCATGCTGGTAGCAAAGACTGCGGAAAAAAAGGAAGCTTGCAGGAATTGAGTGGCTGCGGATCCGGAACTGCCTGGCATCAAGCTACAAACTCTGGGTACTGTGTAGCTGTTGGACAGCTGCCATGTGTTTCCTCACATCATCTCCCATGTCCTGGGCGTAGACAGCAATGCTCTGTGGGCAGCAAACCTCATTGAGCAAGGATGTTTTTGTCTTGCAGTTGCTTAGGGTCACATAGGGGAATGACATCCGTGAGTGGATCAAGCCAGGGGAACAGGAGCACAAGTGCAAGATATCTACCTTTTTGTTTCCATCGCAATCATGATTTTTTGAGACCGGAAACAAGAAGTGACGGACGCATCGGATCCATCTTCCTTGAACTTTCACACCTTTCAGTCGTATGGTCTCACACCATAGCGTGGCCACTGAAAGAGTGACTTCACTCCCGGTCCAAGTGGATACTCAACTGCTGGCGGTCAAGTGCATGGAACAAGCGTCTTGAACGCTCGGACCCTGAGATACATCCATCATCTATACCAGCTGTCAAGCTTAAACCAGTCAAGGCTGGACCCCCAATTTTTAACCATATGATCAATGACAAAAACTGTGGATAGATCGTATGATAGTTACTACTCGGTTTCATCTATGTATGCATATAACTATAGAATTCTATACATGAGTTGTATATGCACATATTTGTCGTGTGTTTCCAAGCGTGCAGCAACCTCCTCTTTGATTTCATTGCTGCACGATAGGGGCCCGTCAGCTGGTAAGCTAAAACCGGTGGAAAGGAAAAAGTCTGGATCTGTGGCATCTCATCTTGGCAGTCAAAAGGTGGAAATGTTTCACCTTTGACCAAATTCTTCAACATGCAGCACACAGCCGTCTACTATTGGATTTCCACTGCCCATGTCAGCACACCAGTTGGTACAATATCTTAAAGCCTCATAAGTTCATCAGTTTCCGGGGTGCCCACTTCGGGTCATACATGCCCCATTCCCTCTGGCATGCCAATCCTGTGGTGCAAAGCTTATGGGTCAGTGCCTGACATGGACAGAGCCGAGGTCTGTACAATGTGGTGTGGTTACACCGAAGTAGATCTGCTTCTAGAAGGTCCGGTACTCCTCATCCTCGGCTTGTGCTACTGCAACTGGCCCCAACTGCCTCCAATTGTCAACATGTGGCATAGAGTGTGTGTGTGTGTCTGTATGTGTATGTATATATATATATTATGTTACTTTATTTTATTACATTATATCATTTAAAAAATATTATATTATATTGTATTAAATCATGTTATATCATATTATATCATATTAAATCATATTATATCATTTTATGTATTTTTTATTTTATTGAATTATATTGTATTTTATTGAATTATAGTGAAATACATTTAGACTATATTATACTATATTAAGTGATATTATCCTATATTACATTACAGCATATATAATATTTTATGACATATCATTTAAAAAAAAAACATATTATGTTATGTTATATTATAAAACTAATTATCTTTTATTATACAATATTATTTTTTATTAAATTAAATATCGCATTTTATTGTAAATTTTATGAGCTATTAAAAAATATTTTATATTAAATTAAAGATTACATTTTATTATACTATATTATATTATATCAAAATATATCTTATTTTATTTTAATATATTATGTTATGTTATATTATGTTAAACTATATTTTATATTATATGATATCTTATTTTATATTATATTCTTTTATAATTTTATCTTAAATTTTATTCTATATTATTAGATACTATATTTTACTATGTTATGTTATATGATATTGTATTAAATCAAATCAAGTCATATCATACTATATAATAGTATATGATCTGAAATGATAATTTATTATATTTGATGATTTTATATTGTATTACATTACACCGCACTATGTTATAATTCATTGCATTATATTTTAGTATATATATTTTATATATTTTAGTATATATTATATTGTATTATATTAAATTATGATCTTTTGTATTATAGTACATTATCTATATATTAAAATCATAATATATTTAAATATACATATAGGTATAGTCCATTCAATAGCTTTTTCCATCTTATTACAGTGGTGTTTCATACCACGTGCAAAGTTCAGACCTTTAGGTTTGGGTGGGGTGGGGTGGGGGATGGGGGGGATTAGGGTTAGGCTTGGGGGGTGAGTGGGGGGATTAGGGTTAGGTGTTGGGGGTGGGGACGTGTATGTCAGATTATGTCAGCATATGGGTTGGAGCTCTTGGATGGACTTTACCGATACATATATGCATGTGTACCTACATACATACATACATACATACATACATACGTACATGCATACATACATACATACATACGTACGTACATACATACATACATATATATATATATTGTAGACATAGAAGTTATATAAATTTGAAATTCAGGAGCCTGACATTTTGGTAGTCTGAGATGTGTTCGGGCGGATTTCGCTTTCGCTGTCGCTTCTGCAGTTGAGTGACGCTGTCGGAGGCCTCAATGTACTTTTGCGGCTTGAGGGTGGGCAAGTCCAGGTTCGTCTTCCCCATCACCTGCTCTAGCGGACGTTGCACTCTGTTTGAAACATGTGCCATAACTTTTCGAATAAGTCGCCATCTCTTGCCATGACATGCCATCATCACTTGACATGATGATTTCAAGCCACTGTATCCAGTGATTCCTCCATGTCTGGTCGCTGTTCCCATTGAATCCGTTGAATTCAACGACAGCAATGCGAAGCCACATGGTGCACCTTGGGCAATTCATCAAATGCACGGCTCTCGCGAAACCTCCTGCGATAGAAGCAGCCTAAGGTACAGAGGCACAGGAAGAGCGCCTGGCAGATTGGAATGGATTACATACTTGCAAACGGTGCATGTATGCATGCATCTATGTATGTTGCTGTATTCCATTGTTTCTCGTCCTAGAGCCGAAATTACTTTGCTAGCATTCTGATTTTTCTAGAGGCAATGAATATTATCATACAAGTGCGAGCTAGTATCAAACCTGACGGGAACTGGGCTAGAATTGAAACCACTTAGACTAGTGTATGCCGGGTTCGCGAGAGATATGTTTTTGACTTTAAACCCAAGGAAATAATGGTCACAACTGAGTAACATGATTTGCGAAAGATTTTACTATTAAAACCCCTTACACAAATCAAGAAACAACATTATGTATGGATATGAATATGTAGATGTAGATGTAGATGTACATGTCTACGTGTATGTCTGTGTATATGTATATGTATATGTATATGTATATGTTCATGTATATGTATATGTATATGTATGTGTATGTGTATATATATATGTATATGTATATGTAATTATATGTAATTATATTATATATTTGTGTATATGTAACTATATATTTGTAATATGATATGTAGTATGTAATATGTGATATGTGATATCTCATATGTAATCGAAGGAGGTTTAGAAGTCAAACTTCCGACAATATGGACAGATGAAAAGCAGAGATGGGAAGAGTCAGAGAAGAGAAGAGAAGAGAAGAGAAGCGAAGAGAAGAGAAGAGAAGAGGAGAGAAGAAGAAGAGAAGAAGAAAGAAGATCAAAAAGAGAAGAGAAGAGAAGAAGAAAGAAGATCAAAAAGAGAAAGTCTCAGAAGAAAGAAGTTCCAAGTGCGTGAAAAGGTAGGAAAGTCGCGGCACACTGTGTTTTTCCAATGATTTGTGGCTCCGGCGGGTCGAAAAGTAGGCTCGCTAAAGCGGCGGGTGCGGAGCCATGTGGCCAGATGATTGATGAAAACGCGCACGCCGTTTGTGGCGCGAAGCACATTTGCAAGTGAAAAAGCTAAAAGCACCTCACGTTCGGAGCACTTTTGGAAGTTGAGATGTCGAAAAAGTGCACGCCGTTGTGGCGCGAAGCACATGTCGAAGTCAAAATGTACAAAACACACCATTGTCGGACCACTTTTGGAAGTTGAGACGTCGAAAAAGTGCACGCCGTTGTGGCGCGAAGCACATTTCGAAGTCAAAATGTACAAAACCTTCGGACCACTTTTAGAAGTTGTGATGTCGAAAAAGTGCACGCCGTTGTGGCGCGAAGCACATTTCGAAGTCAAGAGTGCAAAAAACTGAGGGGTTCGGAGCACTTTTGGACGTTCAGATGCTGTTTTGCGCGGCAGGCGCGATTGTGCACCTTGTCAAAAATCAAAAGTGAGCAAAACGTGAAGGTTTTGTGGCATTTCCAGAAACCATGGCAAGCGTGGGACATTTGAAGAAGATCTGCAAAGATGCATTTTCCGTGGCAGGCACAGTACAAGAGACATGTTCATCAGAGCGCTGATTTCCTGAGACGGGTTGCATTTTGGAGCATCAGATCTTCAGGTTTGCTGAGATGATTTTGCGTGACAGTTGCAGCACTTCGTATGACCCGGCATCACTTTCTCGTGGCAGGCGCAGTACTTTAGACGGTGGAGTGGAAAAATCGCAAAACGCATTGGTACGAGGTCGTCAGCTCTGCACTCAACTTTCCATTTTTGAAGGAAGTCTCGCAGAATTGCTTCGTTTTTGTTGTTGTCATTGTCAACTTCGAAAATTGAGGAAGTCTGGCAGAATTGTTTCGTTTTTGATGCTGCCAAGTTCAAAAATTGAGGAAGTCTCGCACAAGTGCTGCGTTTTCAAGCTTGCAGATAGACACATAAATAGACAACTACAACTACAACTACAACTGCAACTACACTACTTCTACAACTACAAATACAGCTACATGTACAAAATACTACACTATGTTACACTACACTGATTTCATTACACTACACTAATTACACTACACTACGCTAATTGCAGTCCACTACACTAACTACATTGCAATTACAACTACAACTACTACTACAAATAGAGCTGCACCTCCAACTACAACTACACTACATTACACTACACTACACTAATTACACTACACTACAGTACACAACGCACAGTACACTACACTACACTAATTACACCACACTACAACTACAACTACCACTGCAAATACAGCTACAGCTTCAATTACAACTACACCACCTTACACTACACTACGCTACAACTACACTACACTACATTGCACTACACTAATTGCACCACACCACAACTACAACTGCAACTGCAACTACAACAACACACATACTAATTACACTACAAGTACAACTACAAATCCACTACTCTACACTTCAACTACAACTACAACTGCGCTACACCACACCACACTACATCAAGCAGTTGAGGAAGAGGTGACCGCTGCAACCAGTGCAGCCACTTCAAAAAACACAACTCCAACCACCTTTCGGTCCATCAGTGGATTCGCTCTGCCATTCATGATTCACAACAACAAGCTCTCCTATAGGCTTCCTATTCTTGAAACTTCCGCCACCGCCTTGTGCGGTACTACTGGTATGTAATATGTCATGTACGTGCATTGCCAAAATGTGCTCTAATTTCTGTCTATATATGCGCATCACTGCATCACAATATCTGTTACGTTGTGAAATTACAGTCAATGCAAGAAGAAAATTGCCCAACACAAATACAGTAACCAACGAAGCATCATCAGGGGTCAGGGGCCAGTCACTCCACCTTGCCCGAGTTTTTGAAGATGCTCACTTCAAGTTGATATTCAACCAGCAAATATCCGCCGACCCCTGCCTAGCCTTGGCCTAGGTGGGGCGGCGCCTGGGATCACCGTAGGTGTGCGGCATGGGCTGTGGCTTCACCTGTGCCTGCTTTGGCATCCAAGTACGCTGCTTCTAGGCCTTGCAAACTGTTTCTATTGGGTTTAGAAACTGCTACGTGGCACGTTTTAGGCACCTTTAAAAGCTTCAAAAGCTCAAAAACCTCCGCTGCAGCTTTCGAAGGCTCCTATATCCCTAAGCCCCACAAGCTGTTTCTATTGGATTTCGAAACTGCTACGTGGCACGTTTTAGGCACCTGTACAAGCAGCTTTTGAAGGCTCCTATATACAGCACCATGGTGCCTCCCTAGGCCCCACAACCTGTTTCTATTGGGTTTCGAAACTGCTACGTGGCACGTTTTAGACACCCTTTAAAAGCCCCAAAAGCTCAAAACCCTCCGCAGCACCTTTCAAAGGTTCCGAACCTAGGCTTTGGCATCCAAGTACGCTGCTTCTAGGCCCTGCAAACTGTTTCTATTGGGTTTCGAAACTGCTACGTGGCACGTTTTAAGCACCTCAAAAGCCTCAAAAGCTCAAAACCCTCTGCTGCAGCTTTCAAAAGCTTTTATATACGGCACCATGGTGCGTCCCTAGGCCCCACAAGCTGTTTCTATTTGGGTTTCGAAACTGCTACATGGCACGTTTTAGGCACCCTTTAAAAGCCTCAAAAGCTCAAAACCCTCCGCAGCAGCTCTTTCGAAGGCTCCGAACCAAGGCCTTGGCATCCAAGTACGCTCTGCGAGCTGTTTCTGCTGTTTCGAAACTGCTACGTGGCACGGTTTAGGTACCTTTAAAAGCTTCAAAGTCTCAAAAACCTCCGCTGCAGCTTTCGAAAACTCCGAACCAAGGCTTTGGCATCCAAGTACTACCCTGCTTAGGCCTTGCAAACTGTTTCTATTGGGTTTCAAAATTGCTACGTGGCACGTTTTAGGCACCTTTAAAAAAAGCCTCAAAAGCTCAAAACCCTCCGCTGCAGCTTTCGAAGGTTCCTATACGGCACCATGGTGCCCCCCTAAGCCCCACACACTGTTTCTATTCGGTTTCGAAACTGCTACGTGGCACGTTTTAGGCATCCTTTAAAGGCTTCAAAAGCTCAAAAACCTCCGCAGAAGTTCTTTTGAGTTTCGACACTGCTACGTGGCACGTTTTAGACACCCTTTAAAAGCCTCAAAAGCTCAAAACCTTCCGCAGCAGCTTTCCGAGGCTCCGAACCAAGACTTTGGCATCCAAGTACGATGCTTCTAGGCCCTGCAAACTGTTTCTATTGGGTTTCGAAACTGCTACGTGGCACGTTTTAGGCACCTTTAAAACCGTCCGCTGCAGCTTTCGAAAGCTCCTATACGGCACCATGGTGCCGCCCTAGGCCCCACAAGCTGTTTCTATTGGGTTTCGAAAACTGCTAGGCACTTTTTAGGCACCCTTTAAAAGCCCCAAAAGCTCAAAACCCGCCGCTAAGCTTTCGAAGGCTCCGAACCAAGGCCACGGCCCGCCTCCGCAAGCACCTCATGGCACGCCCTCTGCAGCTTTCGAAGGCAGCCCCTGCCGAAGTACGCCAAATCATTGCAAACTTTTACATGGCAAGTTTTAGGTGTGGGCCCACCTCTGCAAGCACCTCATTGGCATCCAAGTACAGCACTGCTTCTAGGCCCTGCAAACTGGCACAAGCACCTTTAAAAGCCTCAAAAGCTCAAAACCCTCCGCGGGAGCTCCCTAGGCCCCACAAGCTGTTTCTAGTGGTTCGAAAACTGCTATACGTGGCACATTTTAGGCATCATTTAAAAGCCTCAAAAGCTCCAAACCCTCCGCAGGCACGCCCTCTGCAGCTTTCGAAGGCAAACACTGCCTACATGGCATGTTTTAGGTAGCTCCTCTATACGGCACCACAGTCGTCCCTCCTTAGGCCCCGCAAACTGTTTCTATTCGCTTTCGAAACTGCTACGTGGCACGTTTTTAGGCACCCTGTAAAAGCCTCAAAAGCTCAAAATCTTCGCAGTTTTTGAGGCTACCTTTTGCTACCTTTGCTTCTACCGTCCTCTGCAGCCACCTTTGCTTCTACACGGCCCCACTTACCCGATTTCCTAACAGTGTCGGAACAGCCGTTTGTTACCTTTGGTTCCGAAGCACCCTGCCTGCCCGACCTTGCAAGAGTCTTGCGCTGCAACTTGCCACCATTGCTTCTACAGGCCGTGCCTGCCCACACTACCTCAAGCCTTCGAAGAGTCCCCTGTTGTTTCCCACTTTGGTTCTACACCGCCCTACCTGCCAAGCCTTGTCAAGCATCTTTTCAAGGGGTCGGCGGCACCAGGGCGTCAGCCCACTTATATTTGATGAAGGCAAAAAAAACTGTACCTAGATGTTTGAAGTGACCTGGAATTTGTTGGAACTGTGTTTTGGGGTCTCCTCTCCCCAGTCCATCCCTGTGCAGCATGCCAAACCGCAACCAAGACGCCAAAGCCCCAACCAGAGCCATGCGCAGGCTCTGTGTCAGAGGGTAGGATTCAGGCTTCACCTGGATGGGGAGGCAACATAAGGATCGCCATGGAAGATGTTGAAAAAAATCCACGGGATAATCTTCCATGTGGATCTTAAAGGAAGCAAGCAAGGCTAAGTAACAGACTCCTGAAAACATCTGCTCCTGGCATCTGAAGCCATCGACGCCAGCCTGTTGATCAAGAATCAAATTGCCAAAGCAATGCTCGAAAAGGGTATACTACTACTTTCCAAAAGGATGCAGGATGAAAAGCTGCAAAATCATAGGCCTTGCAATAACTGCCACCAGGACATCTGCTGCGCCCTGGCATGCACACATCACCGAGCGCCAGTGGCGCTGCCATTGGCATTGCTTGTCGGAGCCCTGAAGCTCCAGATGCATCCCCAGGCCGTGCATGCCCTGCATGCCCTGCATGCCCTGCATGCCCTGCATGCTGCATCTGCTCATGCATGCCCTGCATGTGCCCCATGCCATGCATCCCATGCATCTCTCCAGGCGTTTGAACCGACCTTTGTTGTTGGCCCTGTTGACCTTGTTGGCCTTGTTGGCCCGGGCTTTGCGCTTGGTTTTCTGTCACCAAGGCCTTCTGCACCCGGAGGCAGCTGAAGTTCTGGCCTTGTGGCGTGCACCTCATCAGTTCTGGTCCATGGGCGTTTCCATTGTACTCTGCCAGGGTCACTGTCAGATCCAGCAACTCGGCAGGGAGGGACTCCTCTGTTCCTGGGCGAGATTTGACGCGGAAACGTGTGAAGATCACCGTTTCCAGGACCTGATGGGACCTGTGGAATTCATCCTTCTGCATGAACCGCAAATGTGTTTTGCACCGAATAAGGTCGGCCCATGTGGGTCCATCATGGCCAAGCAGCTAACTTCCATGATGCCTCCTTTCCTGGTGCCGGCTTTTTTCAGCACAAGATGCTGCTTGGACGTTGTCAACGTGCCAGTGACCAGGAGTTCCACGGATTCTGTGGAGGATGAAGCCACATCTCCTCCCACGAGATGCAAGGTAAGCTCGAAGCCCTCCTGTCGATGGCTCAGGAAAAAGGGCATTTTTTGGTGTGGAAACCTCCAATTTGGGTGTGAAACGGGTGTGAATCGTTTCGAGCAACACTGAACCTGACAGCGAATGCCTTGTTGAATGAAATCGATTTAAAACCTTTTCTGGCCATGCAAATATGGTGAAAAACCGGCTTTTCACATCTTTTCACCTCGTGTCACTGCTTTGGTCCACAGTTTCTCTATGGTCTACGGATTTCGAAGTATCACGATTTAGACATCCCAGACAATTCAAAGAATTCAATCATTGGTCGGCCCTTTGATAAACCTTGCGTGTGTTTCTCAACAAGGAGCGTCTCTAAAAATACGCTTTCTGCACCCCTCGGGATACTCACCTCCGTCTTCTGCATGTCCAACTGACTCACCCACGGGCCCGGATCCTTGGCCATGAGAAGGTTCACCGGGTCCCCCGACAGATGCTAGAATTGCTACAATTGCCACAAATGTCTTCAAATCAGACTTTTAAAGAGTCAATATGCCAATGTAGCCAAACAAGGAAAAAGCAGCCTGTAGATCCGTACACCCTGTCAGGGAAAACATGAAAAAAAGGATGCAGAAAGTGTGTTGAGCTTCATCAGCTGCCTCATTGCAGCCGCTGCCAGCATCCACTCGGGAAACAGCTAGCCACGACAAGAAGAGATAGACCTTGGTCGGAACAACTCGCCATGGGTGTTGAAAAAAATGCTTTTTGAAAAAATGTAGTATTGGGGCTATGGGTGCATGCAAGAAGTGTTTTTAAAGCTGCACCGCATATTTTTGGGGACTAGACCAAGGGAATCGGAACGCAAGAAGATTGCTACTGCTGCTCGATGGGAAACGTATGTTCCAGGGCATTCGTGAACCTTTTTGACAGAATTTACACAGCTTCTGCATGCAGAATGAATTATATGAGACTCCTGGGATATCTTTGTCTTCCTTGCTCGGGCCACTTCAGTCGACTGATCGGTGTGATTGTCAGCCATTGTCAGCCTCCACATCTTTAAAACTTCAAGCCCAGCAAACTCCCGACAACTGATCCTCTGCTGGTCCTCTGCGGCCCAGTAACACACATTCCAGATAACATGGCTGCAGCCATGGCGTACCAAGGTGCGCTGTAATCTTCGTAGCGATTGGTATCTGCTGACGAAGAAACCCATGAGATATGATGTCTATGAAGAAGTTAATGCTCCAATCTCTTCAAGTATATAATGTTGCTTTCATGCGCGCTGGCTGCTGTATTAAAGAAACACTGTCCGGATTTGAGCCAGCATCAATGCAGAAAGTCACCAAAAGGGTCACTGACCTTTCCGCTGCAGTCATACCCTTATCCTTTCGCATCCAGTCACCATGGTGCAGCTGTCCATTCCGGGGGGAATCTTATGGTACACTTTCATCTTTGCACTGGCCTCCAACTGACACTACTTCAACTGCAGGCGACTTTGGCGGCACCTCTGGCTGGTTTTCACACATAAAAAAAGGGGGCCTATGAAAGCCCGCCAGAACTGCAACTTGACCTTTGGCAGGAGCACTACTGGCGAGGTTGCGCCCTCATGAAGTCCGTCCCCGTGCTGGTGGTTCTTAACTTCAGGATGTGCTCTTGTTGGGGGACTGTCTCACGATTCCGCATTTGGCTGGATTCAAAGCTGTCCTCTGCACCACGATCGGGGAAAGAAACATTGGATTATGGAAAGTATGAAAGCTAACCATCTACTTTCGGACCATGGTTGTTGTCCTAAGCCACCCGTGTGAGAAAAGCCGACACATGAAACCAGCACAGGGACAGGTGTGCATAGGCATGCCTAGGAAAGAAATGGTGTTTGATCGAATATGCCCTTCAAATCCCTTCAAACAGCATGCTGCTGCCTAGCCCCCTGGATCTAATGAGGGATTTGGCCCTTAAAACAGACCAAGGATGTGGTTCCATTGGTATCCCCTTGTGGTATTCAATCGTAGGGCGCCATGCGTAAGCAATTGCACTGGTGAAGATTCGATCAAAGTCTCAGCCTTTCGCTTGGAGCCATGTTAAAGTTTGTCACCCTCACACAGAGGAGGTGGGCGGACCACAGACGGCCCCAGATGGCCACAGGTTCTGCAACGCTACTGCTGAAATTGGTTCCAAGCACGATGGCTGCTGAAACCCTGTACCAAGCCGGAATTCGCGCAGAGGATTTCAGCGAACCACGGTAGCCACAGGCGACACAGGCTATTTAAACACTCAAAACTCGACTTCACAGCCACCCTGCAAATGGTCCATTGCGGCTTTGTGGCGCTTTTTCCTCATTGTTCCATGTCATTTTGTTTGAATTTGTTTCGCAAATCATGAATATTATCATGAATATCAGTATGCGGCTTTGGAGCAAAATGGTATATCATATGCGTATGTCACATATGTCTAAGTTTGGGCTTTCTATGGCTTTCTATAGAAGCCAAGGTAACACCCAGAAGCGTGTTTTCAAGTCAAGGTCTCGGCCCTTAAAATGATGATGGTGATGTTGCTTTTTCTTTTTACATACTTGTACCTTGCTCTTGGACTGGACAGTTTTCATCAACTCTCTAGTATGAGGAAGCAAGTACCAGGAGTTCAAAGCTGAGCCCCAACATTCCTGAGATATCCTAAAATCCGATGTTCAGTTGTAAACCCGCAGTCTGTATATCTTACTCCCAACAGGATTCTGGTGCAGAGTGGTGACTTCGGCCTGACCGTGCGCGCTGGCGCTTGGCCTGCGGGCACTGCGTCCACTGCGTCTGGCAAAGGTTTTTTGCTGCATCGAAATTCGGTGCCAACTCAAACTTCAAGTTTCTTCAAGTTTGCGCGACCTATATCATAAGTTATCATCAGTTATCATCAGTAATAGCCATAGCAGGCACTCACAACCCGTTGAACCAGTTCCCATCCTGACCGGATCTACGCGGATCCACCTCTTAGGACATGGCACGCAGCAGCGCCCGGGCATCCAGGTCACTATGCTCCAGGAAAGCGCAGAAGGTCGTGAAGGTGATGCCGTCCACCTGTGACTTCACACCGGATGCCTTGTTGGAAATATATCAAAATCATTCAAAATCCATGGATGTTGATATTTGATGGTTTTTCCGTATGTTTGTAATAGTTTAATGGGATAGAATTAATGAAGTGTGTCTGTTCGAGAGACTAGAATGGCAAGCTCCAATGTTTGGGCTGTTTGGCTTCTACCCAGCGCCAAATTATCGTGTCATATGGGGATTCTAGCTTTTTAAACTGGTTTGCATCTTCCACCTTTTTCCCCCAATAGGCTCTGGTACCAAGCAACTTTGGTGTCTACAGCCTCCACCAAAGCATCAATCTGCAGCCTGAAGGCGGCAGGGGCACCTGATGTTGGTGCCCTTCCGTCGGACCATTTCTTCTGTAGCAACTGCGGATAAAAACTTCGCAGGGTGGCTCTAAGGGCTTGGTGGTAAATAGCTTCACCTGAAAGCCTTGAGTAGAAAGGGTGTGTGTGAATCATTCACATTGATACTACTTAGTGATATCAGTGATACTACATGATGTTTTCTTCCTCGAAACATACAGCTCTGGGATTTTTTGCCACAAACTGACGAATTGCCATGGCCATGGCTATCCAGTCCTGTTCATATCAATCTCCGCACTGGCAAGGGCCATAGCCAGCTCTTCGCTTGGAACTACTCCTATACCGGCGATGATTGGCGATGGCTACCATCCCAAGCCCAAGCCACAAAACATGGGGAGCTACTCCAGCTTTGAGCCATACCCAACTGAACAACAAGAACATAAATTGGAAAAATGCCGCAGAGCAAAGCAAACCTTCAACTCTTCCAAAACCCCTGGCATCTCCTTTCTTCTCGACGTCGAGCTTTTGCCACGCGGCCTGCAAGTCAGAAAAGGAGTGAAGTCTCCAACTTCCATACATCAACTGATCCACATGTCATAGCACTCAATGTGCAAAGCAGTGCGGCCTTGGCATATTCCTGAACTTTCAACCTTGGCCACAAGAAAATCTGGCAGTTGAAACATCCTGGCCGTGCACTCTTCGAGCCAAATCCCCGCCAAGAAGCAGCTGTTCATCTGCCAACTCCTCGGCATCACCTCAAAAAAACCACAAGCTGGCCATGTGTGGCAGTTAAAAAAGTTGTGATGTTTAATGATAAATATATGATAAATGTCGTAAAGTAAACATACACAAATGTGTGGCCGTTTTAAACATATGGAAAAGGCATGATCAACCATCGAAAGAGGTTCCAATTTTTGAGACAAACCACTTTTTTGAATGATGGCGAAATCACCCATCCAAATCCAAACAATCCATGATTAAAAATACCAATCATTTTGGCCAGTCGAAATGCCCCTGGTCTGCTTCATCTCCCCTGCCAAGGAGCTCAGGGTGATTATCTCACTCCTTAGCAGTAGCTCCCATGCAGGCCCATGGGCATGTTGCTGCATGTGATTCCATTTTACGAACTATTTTCTAGATGTACCTGATAAGGACGGGCATACTCAATTATCCTTGGACATAATGTAGACGTTGCTGATTAAAAAAGAACGTTCCAAACCTCTGCATTGAGTTCGTGCTGTTTTGTGTATGAAAGAGTAGCCTTCTCAATCCTCCAATTGGTCTAAGCTTCAAGAGCTCTTCCTTCGAATATTCTTCACCTTCAGGTAGTAACGGCGGGCTCATCTCTCGACTCAAGATCTGAGTGAAGAGATCCCCTGCAGCTGCCGGAATAACTTAATTGAATCTACAACCCAAAAATTGCGCCCCACAGTCCTACCAGACCCGATTTCAAGGGCAACGAAGTGTCTCAAATGCACATCAGAACAAACAACTGCATTTCCTGCACAAAAGTGAAAGGTTACAGTGCACGACAAAACTGTTCAGCCTTTGACTACCTTGAAGAACTTGTGGTCCTGGCAGGCCAACAAACAATTATATAGTTGTTTTTGGTTTGGAAATGACTTACTTCCAACAAGAACATGACGGTAACATATTTCTTCAAACAGTCCAGGTCAATACTGACAATTGCCCCAAACGCGACAGACATTGCTCTGTTTCTTTGTGGCATCCAGGTCCTTCACTTCTGCCCAGCCCTCGTTGTTTCCAATGCGCTCCGCCGGATTTTTGGTCAAGAATCGCTCGATCCTGAGACCATGGGACAAACCCTGAACCCATCCTGTTGAAACCCGTCACCCAATGGAGAATATGATGGTTACAGTAATCGATTAATATCTGGTTTCGGGGTACGCCCCACTTTTCCTAGAGAAACAATAGATATGCATGGATGTATGCAAATATGATCAAATACATGTTGTATGTACATGTACATGTACATGTACATGTACGTGTATATTTGTGTGTGTGTGTCAACTCATGTCTTCCAAGGATCATAGGAGTTCCTTTTTTCATACTTTCACTAGGCAGTCTAATTTCCTGTGAGCGGCCGCACCTCGATTTTTTCAATTCATGTATATAAGGGGTACGGGTATGGAGGCTGATTTCCTATCTGTGCCAACGACGCTACGAAAATCAGTTGGAAGAGAATTGGGACGCCAATTCTTGTACGTGAAAAAATGGTTTTTCTAGATTGTGACTCAAGACATTTCAAGTAAATTAGGGTAGATTCATGCTTGTGGATTTGGTGGGTGATCGTTTCGCAGAATGCATTAGGTTGCTTCCCCTTCACTGACTCCTGACGCAGTCAGAAATAGCCCAGGAGGCCGCAGCATTGACTTCTCCAACCTGGAGTTCCTCTTTGGAGGGTTAGGGATGCGCATGTGATATTGGGTATCGGTATCCACCCCATCAGGAAATCTGCTGAGTACCATTTGCAAAAAGAATCCCTCACGGTCTCCATCCGAGCTGCAAATTTTTGCCAGCATTGTCGTTGTACTTGGGCGGAAAAACAAGTTCTTCCTCGCAGTGGGAGAAACCACACAGTGGTTTGGGCGGTAGCTGGACGTTCACAATGAAGAATTGAGATGAAATTCAAAGAAACCAAAGGCACAAGACCAAGAGAAAACCACACATTGCAAATTATATTTTTTTAGCATTAGGTTTCCATGAAGCATGTCTGAAGCATGGTGGGTGTACCAACTCGTGTTTGTGTTGCTGGGTTCAAGAGTCC